TAGATCTAGGGAAGAGGGAAGGTGGGGAGACAGAATAGAGGTCAACACATAGCTCTTCCCGCCAGGCCAGGTGAGGATTCTTAGGAGAATAACAAAGGCCAACAGCCCCCACCTCCCCATCTATCCTGCAAACGTAAATTCTCCTACATTACTCATTCCTCCCTATAATAACTGAAAGGGTCCTAAGCCAGGTCCCTCATTGCTTCATTCTGGCACCAGAGGCTGTGTGGTTTGGGTTTGGAGGGGTGGCAAATGAGTGAAAATTCTTGGTCTGGGTTTGGAGAAAGCTGGGAAGGTAGTGGGTAGGGAGAATGAGGTGGGTGGTGGGAAAGTTGAGGGGTCACAGTCCTAGGAATGGTGTTCCTTTGGTAGACACTTATTGGCTCCCCCACTTTGCGTAGTGAAATCTGTGCTGGTTAATACCTTTCTTCCCATTTCTTTGTCTTCCCTGATCCTCTTCCCTCCCCCTCCCCCTGGATGTGCCATCCTTGTCTCACCTCCCTCCCCATCTCATCTCCTCCATGTCTGTATCTCTTCCTGCTGTTGTTCTGTCTATGCCTGGCCATGGTTCCATGTGCCTCCTCCAACCTATCTGCCTTTTCCTTGCCTTCTCCCTCCCCGTCCGTTGGTTTTTGCTCCCCACAGCAGAGGGGAAGGTGTACAGCTCAGATGAGGAGAAGCTGGAGGCACCAGCAGGAGACCCAGCAGGCAGCGAACAGGAGGAAGAGGGCTCAGGCGGTGACAGCGAGGACGACGGTTTCCTGGACAGTTCTGCAGGGGGCCCCGGGGCTCTCCTGGGACCTAAACTGAAGCTAAAGGGAAGCCTGGGGCCTGGAACTGAGGAAGGGGCACCAGTGGCAGCAGGAGTCACAGCTCCTGGGGGCAAAAGCCGAAGGCGCCGCACAGCATTTACTAGTGAGCAGCTTTTGGAATTGGAGAAGGAGTTTCATTGCAAGAAATACCTGAGCTTGACAGAGCGGTCCCAGATTGCCCACGCCCTCAAGCTCAGTGAGGTGCAGGTCAAGATCTGGTTTCAGAATCGGCGGGCCAAGTGGAAGCGCATCAAAGCTGGCAATGTGAGCAGCCGTTCTGGGGAGCCCGTAAGAAACCCCAAGATTGTCGTGCCCATACCTGTGCATGTCAACAGGTTTGCTGTGAGGAGCCAGCACCAACAACTGGAACAGGGGGCCCGGCCTTGAAGGGGCTCCCAAGGACTTCGGAAGGCAAAGGATCTGTTCCTGAGCCTGCTCTGAGACTGGGTTAGGGTTCTGTGGACCAAAGGGGCTACTACTGTGATTCTGCCCTAGGAGAGGGCTCAGTTGGCAATTAACTTAGCTCTAGGTGTGCTCTCCTGGCAACCTGAGATGTGGGCACTTGGCCCTGAGCCTATTCCAGAGACCCTCAGGACTGGGGGCTTCAGGGTTAAAGGGGCTTGGGTTCTCATTGCTGAGGAGCTGTTGGGACTGAGGTGGACTCCTGGGGAGGGGGTGGGTTCTAAAATGCCTAGCGCCTGAAAGGTTCCTGGCTAATGCCCTGGAATCACTTCTGACAGGAGTGGGAGCAGTCCAGGGTGATACCTAGCCAAGCTGATCACACCTCCTTATTTATTTTGTGTAAAGTGTGTATATATGGAGCTATCTGCCTCTGTCTGTCTGCACCCCTGAGAGGGATTGGGAAAGGTCTATGTCCTCGATCCTCAGCCAGAGTTTAGTTCCATCTTACTGCCCGGGGTGGGTACCGTCTTGCCTGTCTGTAGTACAAGGATATGCAAAGAAATGAAATGGAACTGTCACTTGCCTCCTTAGAAGCTCTTCAGCACTAACCATCTCCTCCCATGTAAACTACCTCCACTTCTGTCGTTTCCCACTCCGGGCACTGCCCGCCATTCGCACCTCTAGACCTCCTTCTCCTGACCTGGCACTTCTTTTCTCTTTACCCATTAAACAGGCAAGCTTCTTCCTCTCTGCTTTCTTCTCTTTGGAAGAGTTGGCAGACTTACAGGATAGAGGATTCACTCCCTTTTGCACTATGGGGGGAAATGAAGTACTTGACCCTACTTTAGCTGGGGTCTTTCCAAGCCCTATCTAACTCGGTAGAGGTTACCAGTCCTGTCAGTGACTGGGGCAGGGCAGGGGCTCACCCTTATTACCTGTGAGCTCGTTAATAAATCTTTTTCTATGTAGAGGACGTACCAGCTTAGTCCATCTCTGCCACCCTTTGATGTTCCAGACGTGAGGGCCTGCAGTAAAAGACCCACTTCCAGTTCTCTGTTCTTATGGCATTAATTGTGGTCTCTCCTTCCCATCACACTGTTTACGAAGCTTGGGATACCAAATCCTCTTTTGTTATACAACGAGATGGGTTGAGAGGGCCCACTGCAAAATGGATGAGGCAAGGAATGAATCTGCTGGTTCTGGAAGTGTGTGTTCTGTAGAGGAAGCTACGGAGATAGGAATTAGAGGCTTTGGGGTTGGAATTCTATGAGCAAATTAAGGAACAGCATTAGTGGACGAAGGGAACATAGGGATATGAGGCTTCAGGGGCACTTGCAACAGAGTATAGTGTGAGGGAAACGAAACAAACTAGAGCTGTTTGCCATTTCCCCCACCGTCACAGAAGGGCTACTATCCTGTATCAGCTGCGGAGCAGGGCTGCACAGACACGCCTGCGCAGACACTGGAGAAAGAGGATTATTACAGAAACCAGCTGAAGTTGGTATCACGGTAAATAGGGCTTCTTGGGAAGAAATATGACCTGCATTGATTTGGGAGGAGAGCTAGAGTAAAGAACAGAGCCACTGAGAAGAAAAATAGGCAGGCTATGAGTGAGGCAAGGAGACTCAGGAGATGGTGGTCAGAGAGGGGAGGAAAGTACAGCTCAGTCAAATAGGTGGCTAGCTTCCTCGCCTTCCTTAGAGGGAAAATTGCTGCTATTCCTCATTGCTGGAATGGCAAAGCAGCCAATGTCTATTCACTCAGACATCTGTTGAATGCTTCTTACAATGAAACTGAGACAATCTTTCCTTGTCAGTTCGTTTCTCCTAGTTGGTTTTGGCAACCAAATAGAAAGCAACCTGGAGCTATGACTGGTCATTAACAACAGTGTCACAGTTCCCCAGCTAGGACACATGGATCCAGGGCCAGTCTTCTCTATTTGGCTAAATTTCAGCAAGGATTGAGAATTAGGCTAAAAAAAATATAGTCCAGACCAGCCCCATTCCTGATCTAGATTGAGGCTGTCTCTCTGATACCTTAGACTCACCCACATAGGGAACCTACAGGGTTAGATTCTTTTTAGGAGAGAAGCCAGGCAAAAGTCGAAGATCACAGGAGCTGTTGTCACTCTAGCTGTCAGAAATTCATGTTGACAGGTCTAGGGCTGGAGCAGAGGCGCTCTGGCTCTGTGCCCTCAGGAGGATTGGGAGGATGGGGAGGACAACCAGCCAACACCAAGGCCCTGATTTGCCATTTTTTTCTGGATTTACCTATGATGTCTCCTAAACGCTACTAGGCAGTATTCTGCCACTCAAGCAGTTGATTTTCCTTGGGAAACCTGGAGGTGATTGACTATTGCTAGTCTTTTCTGAGCCCAGGAACCCATTCTTACACTCTTGTCTCTATTCTGCCCTTATTTTGCTTAAGGCTCTTATCAGCATTGCAAAAGGGGCTGTGGACCAAGGAAATAAAATCTGGTTTCCTCTCAATAGCATTACTTGGTTATTTACCTACATGTAGGCAAGTGTCCATGCACCGAGTGCCAGCCCACACACCCAATGTATACTCAGTGTTGCAGAAAACAAGGGCCACCAGCAAAGTGGTTCTAGGAATGGGGAAGCAACAGGCTCCTTAGAGAGCAGGACTCTAACTTACTAAGTTCTCATCCTTTAAGAACAGTACAGAGGGGCTTCCTCCAGGTCTTCTTTCTAGAATAACTAGGGGAAAGCAGGGGCTCTGAATTCTGTCCCCAGCTTGGCAAGATGTTGGTGGGAGTCAAGATGACTGTTCTGCCATCAGCAGCCTTCCCTCTCCCCTTTCCTCAAAAGCAAAGCTGAGGCATGAGTCCCAAAAGAAGTGCTGCCCTAATAAATGTCTAGCCACTTATCCTATGGCATCCTTGGAATTCTCCTGTGCATTGACTTGAGAATTTCCCTGTACATCTGGCTGTGTGGGCTAGTTCCCAGACTCTCAGAAAGGGGGACTACGCTTATGCCTCTCTTTGGGTGAACTTTGGCCAGTACAAAGTGTGGCATGAGGTTAATGGATAGAATATTGATGAAAATAGAGACCAGCTAGAAAAACTTTCTAAGGGTTGCAGGGGAGAGTGTGACTGAGAAAGGTAGCAAGAAGCTTCCAGTAAGAAGCACAGAACTCAGTATCTCCTCGTCAAGGTTCACTGCTGGTGCTGCTGGCAAACTCAGGTACACCCCTGGCAAGAGAGGGCTGAGAGAAATGCAGGTAGGAAGCTGAGGGAAGCCGACCTGACCTGAGGCTGAGAGGGGAGAAAAATCCTACAGCACAGACAGCAAAAAGAAGACAGAGACAAAGAAATAGAGATGAGGGGCATTTTTGGAAGGGCAGAGATGTAAGCCAGCCCTGGTGGTCTAGTGGTTAGGATTCGGCGTTCTCACTGCCGCGACCTGGGTTTGTTTCCCGGTCATGGAACCACACCACCCATCTGTTGGTTGTCACACTGTGGCAGCTGCGTGTTGCTGTGATGCTGAAAGCTATGCCACTGGGATTTCAAATACCAGCAGGCTCTCCCATGGTGGACAGGTTTCAGCGGAGCTTCCAGACTGAGACAGACTAGGAAGAAGGACCTGGCCACCCACTTGGGAAAAAGTTGGCCACGAAAACACTATGAATAGCAATGGAGCATTGTCTAATATAGTACTGGAAGGTGAGAGGATGGCGCAAAAAGACTGGGCAGGGTTCCACTCTGCTGTGCACAGGGTCAGAATCAACTCCACGGCACTAACAAGAGATATAAATGGGGAAAACAAGGCCACACATACAGTCTCGTTTATTGGCTCATCATACACGCACACCAAATATGTACACAAACATAAATATTCCAATGTACAAATTTACATGGGACTCACAGATCACTCCCCACCACCCAACCTGTGTCTTATCCAGACATTTTAGGATGAACACTTGCAGGGGGCTGGCACTAGAAGGTAGGAATCTGGAGGAGGGAGAGGTCCTGCTCCCCTCTCCTCACAGGTACCTCCAAAGGGTCCTGTCCCTTTTCAATGGCACCATAGGGCAGAGGGCTAAATACCTCCACTCCCTCTCTGCTGCGGCTCAAATCCCAGACGTCTCCTCTGATCCCTCTGTTTCTCCCATTTGGCTCTTCTCCTTTTTGACTGTTCCTATTTTCCTTTCCTTCTTCCTTTCTATATGTCCCTGCTTCTCAGTCTCTGTGTCTTTGTTTCCCCTAGTGCCTGTAGGGAGGAGGGTTCCCCAGGCCATGGAGTCCTTCTGGCCCCTCTGCCCCCTTCCTGGGCCTTAGAGGAGGCTAGGGCTTCGGTGCAGCTCAGCAGAGGTGTTGGTGCCATTGGCAGGCTCTCTGTTGGGGGTAGGTGCTAAGCCACAGCCCTCCGCAGGGCAGCCATGCTGGATCAAGATGTCTGCACACTCCTGGCTGCCAGCCCGGCGAGCATAGGCCAGTGGAGTCAGACCCCGGGCGTCCCGGCTCCTCACATCCACCCCATACTGCAGAAGAAAGCACATTTGCACAGCTGGCATGATAATGGCAGGAAGGGTATGGGTTCTTGGGGAGAAAAAGGAGAAGTATAAAAGGGCCCGGGTAAAAAGGATGTCAGGTAGGTCAGAGGAGCCTGCAAGAGTGAGGCTGGGAAGGCAAGGAGGGAGCCCACAACTCACCCAGATGAGCAGCTGTGTGAAGACGACGTTGGCCATGGCACTGGAGAGATGCAGAGCCGTCCGCCCATCCCCGTCCCCGTAGGTCTCATTCACCTCCTCCTTGGACCCGTGTGCCAAAAGCATCACCAGCAGCCGCAGGTCATCCTCCACCACGGCCCGGAGCAGCTGCTGCCCCAGAGGCACGTCCGAGCTCGGCAGTGGGGCCAGGAAGAGCTTCTGTTCATACTTGGCCCTTATCCAGCGCTCTTTCTCCTCTCTGCAACCACAGGTTCATCAAGGCATGAGCTTAGGAAGGACCCGAGCCAATGGGCAGGGGGCCAGGGAGGGCAGTCAGGAAATGACATGAGCACCCCCAAGGGGAATAAGGAAGAAATAGTGAGAGAATGTGTCAGAGCAGTGAAGAGACAAGCCTAAGAAATCGAGGGCATACAGAGGGACAGTGGGTAATGCAAGAGTATGGAAGAAGCTGAAAGGAAGGAACACTGAAGGGAGGCCCCTCGGGGACAGCAAGGATATGGGGGGCTGAGAGGGCAGGAAGATTCCAGGCAGGGCTCATGTGGCAGCTTATCTGGCTATGCTAGAACAAAGGGGTGGGGGCCTGCACAGGGGGCCCACGCACTACCCTATCTACCACCCATTCTCCCCATCTCAGAGCTCAGGCTAGGGCTTTTGCACCACAGAGCGATAGGGCCCTGCGCATGCGCCTCCTGCTGGCCCCCTGACCTGCTGATAACGCTCAGAAAGGGCCTGTTGTTGTGAGGCGCCTGAGTGACAGGCAGGCAGGGGGAGGGGCACCCCAAGGGGCCAACTGCCAAGCAGAGCAACAGCCAGTTTTAACCCTTCTATCACTGTCACAGCCACTCAGCACCATTTCCAGTCTTCCCCATACCAGAGCACTGACGTCCCCTCCCTTTCTGGCCAGCTTCAGGGCCCCATCCACTCACCTGCAGGCGTCAGGCCCTGGCTTTGCATAACCATCCAGGGCCCCCTCCCAGACACTATTGGCCAGGGCATTGCCCATCGCGGTCATGACAGCCAGCAGCTCAGGTGGCCAGTCATCAAGGTCAAGGGAACGGACCCGGGACAGGTGAGCCCCCAGATGTCGGTGGGTCCCTGAGCACTCGATGCACATCAGGGCGCCCAGGTTCAGGCTGGCCCAGTCTGGATCTAGGTGGTGAGAAGAAGCATGATGAAGCCCACGCGCAACCTGAGTGAGACCACCAGAAAAGTCCTCCCTCTCTCCTGGCCTACTGGAAGCCTCTTGTAGAGCTTTCGCTAAGCCGCCACCAACCCTGGCCCCGCCAGCCCTGGCACTCACTGGGGGCGTCGCAGTCGATACAGAAGCTGTTGCCACGAACAGTGCGGACGGCCTGTACAGCCAGAGCTGCATTCTGATTCCCCAGTCGAGTCTGCCATGGTGAGACAGGGGACAAGTGGTGGCTGGTTAGTCACAAGGCCACCATTGGTCCCACCCCACTCGGGCCTCCATGCCAACCTTGTCCTTGGCGCTGCGGCAGCCCTGCAGGCTGGCGAGGATCTGGGCCTGCACGCTCTGTACCCACAGCTCCCGCTCCTCTGCAGTCGAGGCCTCGAAGTGCCATGTCTGCCCAGTGAGGGACACCACCACAAACTCAAACGACTCCTCCGTCTCTGTCAGGTACGGGGGCATTTAACACCATCAGTGCAGGCGCCTTGACACGTACATCCAGGGACACGCCATTGCCACAACTCCATTCGCTCCCCTGCCTTCCTGGCACTCCTCCTCTTCCCCCCACCCCAGCCTCAAGGGCCACGCTCTCCAGGGCAGCTTGCAAGGAGGAGAGAATAAACTAGCAATAGTGTGGAGCCCTCAAACCTCCTTCCTAACCACCTGTGGAGCCTGTGTGAAAAAAGATGAGATGCAAGGTTTTAGAAGCCCTAGCCTGCCAGGAATGGGTCTGGGAATCAGAGACGGCTGCTTCCTATAGAAAGGAGAGCTGAGGATCTGGGGAAGAACGTGATGGGGGGCTAGGAGGCAATGCTGGGAGAGGGTGGGGGAAGGCGGGTGTGGGCACTATCCGTACATGTCAGCTGCAGCCGCCTCATTTTGCAGCTCATTAAACCCAATATTCCTGACAGCGTCAGCGTGGGGCTCCTGGGAGCTCGGCCCCTCCCCCACTACCATGGCACAGAGAGGCAGGCAGGGCAAGTAGATGGGGAGAAGAGGAAAGGTTTTCTCCACGAACTGGGATGTGTGAGCAGATAGGGACCTGAGACATCTGCAACGACAAGCACTGTGGGCTGGACTGTGACCCAAGCAATGTGGTGAAGCTATTCCAAGCTCTGCTCCCGCAGGACCCCAGGACCCCAGAAGACAGCCACATGAATCTCATTCCCAATGGACACCATGGGTGAACAATTCCTAACAAGCAATGTGAATGTGTCAGGGGGGCTGGAGAGACAGCTCCAGTACCTGTGGGGAGGCCCAAGGGTGAGCCAGAGGCAAAGGCCTGAGCCACACATTCTGCCCAGGGAGCCTCTCACCTCAATGACACTGACATCCCCTGGAAGTCCTCCTGCTCTAAGGGCATCTGCAACTCTTAATAGAACTGCCTTCCTAGAAAAAGAAAACTGGTACCTTTTCTTTCCCCAGGCTCCACCATCCCACCTCACCTTGCTTTCAACACAACCTTTGAACTACATAATCTTGATGATTGGTGGGGGCTCAGTTTCCCTGGTACAGGTGGACCCCATGCCATGAATGCTAAGCATAACCACATCCCAGGTTGGCTGGGAAAGGTGGCTCTTTCCCATAGAGGTGATCTCCGCTCACCTACCCACATCCCTAACCCTGACAATCAGAGCAGAAACGAGCAACTTTGCGTCAACATAAAGTAAACTTATTTGGGAGCAATGAGACTCTAACCACTGAGAAGAGGGACATTTTGTGTGTGTGTGTGTGCATGAGGAAGATTAGCCCTGAGATAACATCCGTTGCCAATCCTCCTCTTTTTGCTGAGGAAGATTGGCCCTGGGCTAACATCTGTGCCCATGAGAAGAGGGACATTTTGAAGATACTTCGGGAAAAATCAGAGAAGCAGTGCTATGATTAATAAAGGATTATGAGAAAGGACCTATGGAAAACTGTTTGAGGAGCTGGAATTCCTTAGCCTACAGACGACTAAGTAGACTCAGCCGATCGAGACACACGTATTAAGCACCTATCATGTGCCCAGCACTCATTAACCTCCATGGGTGATACAAGAGACACAGAAAACACAGATCCTGCTCAAGAGTCTTGGAAGAGCGATTGGAGTAGTAGCCTGCTGTCTTTTACCTTCTATAAGAATAAAAGAAGTAAACTCACATTTTAATAGAAAGGGCTTAAGTTAAGCAGAAAAAAGCTTTTCTAAGACACTAGGTTGAGACTACCAAAAGAACTTGTGGAACTACTTTTATTGGAAATTATTAGAAAGTGCTTAATCTAATATACAAGAAAGGGTGTTACTTTTAGGGTACTATCCCCAAGTCCCACTGCCCACCTCCTGTGCCCCGGTTTCCCTCTGGGTCCCCCTAACCTTCAGTAGCACTGCTGGGGCCGTCGGGTCGGGGGGTCCCGGTGCTCTTTTTCCGCCGGTGCTTCTTCCGGTTGGAGTGGGGAGATGGGGGAGGCTCCAGCTTGGGGCTGGAACTGAGCACCTCAGCTGGGCCACTGGCTGGTGAGGGGAGAGTTGGAGAAGTGTGGGAAGAGGGGAGGGTGGTGGGCAGAGCAGTCCTGCCTAGTGCTGCTAAGAGCTCCACCCTGAACTGCAGCTAGGCCACCCTGGGAGAGCCAGTCTCATACCCTCTCTCCCCAGGGAGGGGTCTGCCCAGCCTTGGAAGGGGAGAAGGTGGAGAGAGGAGAGTGTAGGAAACTCAGGCAGAGCACGATAAAGGCCGGGAGGAAGTGTTGGCTTCTGCAGCCTGGAGGTGTGGAAGGCGGCCCAGGGAGCTCACAGGGAGCTGAACCCCCAGCAGCTCCGCACCAAATTTATCCTCAATCACACTCCCCGCTCCTCACAATTAATAGCAGAATTAGAAACAATCAGGGAGCTGCCTAATTACTGTCAATTAGAGCGCGCTAATCAAGCTCCCGTCTCCCACACCCCACCCGGTGCTCACCACTAAATGTCAAACTTCATTAGAGGCAGACACACTCCCTCCCTCCCTGCCTTCCTCCTTCCAGACTCAACAGAGGGGCCCCACCAAGGCCAGCACAGGCCTTCAGGATGGTGACCCCAGGAAGGGCCCTTAGTTCCCCTTCTCAGGCCCTCCATACTCTCTCCTCCCAGGGGGCCTTGGACTGGGGTGCGAGGTGGGACAGATTCCCTGTGCTGCGAGTGAGCGCTCAGTTCCTTCCTGCTGTCAGAGCTCAGGCTGGGGGCCTGTGAAGGGTCTTTGGGAGGCAAATCAGGCCAGGCAGTACTGCCCAGCCAGAGGAACAGTGGGAGGAGCAGGTTTGCCTGGGCTGCCACAGCCCACCTCCTGGCTTCCCAGAAGATAGTGGGTACCCTGGGAGTCTCCTCCCTCTCTTACGCCTCACTTAGGAAAGGAGAGCAGAGTTGCGCCCATATCCCTTTTAGCCTTCCAAACTGCTGATAGGATCTGTGGTGAAAGGGTTAGGATATGGGTGAGAGGAAGGAGAGAAAGAGAGAGAATAGGGGGTGGGTGGGCAGTGTGTCTGTGTGTGTGTGCGCGCACGCTCACTGAAGAGGCAGGGAGAAGAAATAAGGGGAAAAAGGTACAAAAATGGACAAAGGAGGAAGAAAATAAAGAAGAGCCAAGAAAAGTAAGAGGTGGGTGGGATGAGAGAGAGAAGGTAGAGTTTTCAACCACCTAGACAGGGTGGGGCCTCAGCCTATCCAAGGAGGCAGCATGGGTAGGAAAACTACTTTTCTGGACCACTCCCTGGATCCTGTCTGCAGGGACCCCCCCTTCTCCATGGCAAGCTGAGTTGCCACCTTCGGAACGTGTTTAAAGCCCCAAGCCTCCGACCACCCTACTCAGCCGCTTCCCTGTCCCCTCCCACGGTGAGGCTGATGAGCTGGCTGCGCAGGGGGCTGATGGGGATGCGGGAGCCGCCACCAGCTCTGCCTGGGGACAGCGGTGGGCGGGCAGAGAAGCTGCAGAGGGAGGGTCTCTAGCGCCAGTCATCTGCGAGGGCCTGGGGAAAGCAAAGGGGGAAGGGGAAAGGAAGCCGCACGTGGTGGCTGGAGAAGGAACAGAGCTCCTGCTCCATTTCCCAGATCCCAGCACTGGCCCTGCGGCACACAGTCTCTGTGATGAGCCCTGGAGGGCTCCGCTGGGCCCTTCCCCTCAGCCTGGGCACCATCCCATCACAGCTTCCCAGGACACAAACATTGCTCGCTCAGCTGCCCTCCTCTGTTGCTTAACCCGGTCCTGCATACCTGGGGGCAGGGCAGCGGCCTCACTCCACTGGTCGGCACTGGAAACGGAGCAGGAGCGCTGGTGCAGCCCCTCGGGGTGCGGGCCAGCCCAGGCTGGGCTGCTGGCCGAGTGGGGGGCACCTGGGGGGGGAAGGGTCAGACTGGGAGGGGAGGCTGGGGAAGGGGTACACACAGACTTTCCTGAAAATAGACTACAGACTAAGGTTGAGAAATTCCAGCAGGGTACTGGCCAAAAATAAGGGGATCTTGGGTTCACCAGGTACCAGGCCAGCTTATTGGAGAACTGGAGGCCTCACATGGGCCTTAGGAGGCAGCTGGTCCCAGACTTCACACCCATCTTCATGAACATAAAGGTGCACACCTCCACCCTCTCCCTGTAACCCGGGAGCCGGAACGGGGGAGTGGTAATGACGTCTGCCTATTATCCCCAGCCCCCTTCCCCTCCTGGTCAGGCCCCTGCACCCTACATTCTAGTCCACGTATGCCATTTGCTTTGCCTCAGCGTTGCTGCCATTCTGACGAGAAATAAGTGTATCAAATTCAAGTAATTATGTCTAATTAGTATTAGTAATTATCCTGTTGGGCTAGAGAAAATTAATCTTTCGTTTCCCATCAGGGAAGAACAGTAGAGCCAAGGGGAACTGAAGGCTCCAGGAGTGCCAAGGCTGGGGTAGGCAGGGCCGGTGGTGGAGGAGGCAGGGCAGTGTGTGCCCTCAGAATTCTCCTGCCTCACTCCCCAGGCACTGAGCCACTTGTGGAGAGATCGTGGGACAGGCATGGGGCCTCAGAACCCATAACACTTAAAGGGCCTGTGCCAGGATGTGGAGAGCCTACCTACGCTGCCCTCTCACCTCAGTCCGCCTATAACAGGGTGGGGACTGAGCCAGAAGGCAATGGCTGTGGGAGGTCTGAGGACAGGTGGGCCATACTCGAGGTGTTTGAAGTTAAAGCACAGGAGTTGGCCAGGTGCTGAAGGTTAGTAAGAAGGGAGAGATGGGGCCTGAAGCTGGACAAAGCCGGAGAGAGCATGCAGCAACCACGAGGCCTCACGAGACCCTGCGAGCACATGGGTCAAGTTTCCGGAAGCCTAGGTATGAAGCTCTGAGCTGAAGCCACTAGAAGGTAAAGGAACAGGCCAGACATCCCTAATGCTCTGGGGACAGTATGACACTGAAAGGCGGAGGGCAAGTTTTGTGTTTCTCTTGTATTTATCATAACACCCAAGGCAGGACCAGACACACAGTAAGTGCTTATTAAGAGACGTGTGGCGCCGAGACTGCAGGCCAGTCTGTCCGGTTTCCAGTCCCCTCAAGGCGACATGCTGATGCTTCCTCTTCAGAATCCTGCTGTGCTCCCACTCTGGCCTCACAGGTCCCTGGAAACTTAGCCTTTCTCGGGATATCCTCCCTCCCCATCAGGAAACCCTCCAGGGGAGCATACTCAGCTCCTAACTTCTCAGATACCTTGCTTCTCCCCACCCCTCTCCTGCTTCCATCCCCTCCTGGGTTCCAAATCTTATCCCCCCCTCACCCCTAGCCCCACCTAAAGACATCACAGGCTCAACTTCCTCCCCAAACCCCCCAACCCAAAACCCTGAAGGGAGGGAAAGTGCTTTCCCTTTTCTTTGTTAATTCTCCCCTCATTACGCCTGCAATCCCACAATCAGTGTGCACTGTAATTGTCGAATTTGATGCTAATGATTAATGAATTAAACATGGAGCCATCAATTAGTCCTCGGAGGATAATTCTGCATAAAGCAGCCGATAATGTAATTACAGTAACAAAGATAATGAGATGTTAACATCGCCCGGTGAGCGGGAGACATGTGTGAGTGTGCATGAGGTCGGTGTCAGCGTGCGGCAGAGGGGACGCAGGCTTGGGTAAATGCCCGTCCATGTGTTCTGGGGATGTTGGTGAGTGTCTGTGGGTGCTGGTAATTATGTGGGTGAGTGTGGTGCCTCTCCCTTCTCCACATGCCGCTTCTGCCCCCCAGGTGGAGGCTATCAGGACCCAGGAACATGACAGGACAGAATGTCTTACTGTTTCCCTCCCTTGCTACCTGCCTTCAAGGAAAGGTTCCCCTTCAGTGCCCTTACACTTCCTCCTCCTCTGGTATGATATGAGAAACCCCAAGCCAAACCAGAGGCTGCCACTGCTGTCTGCATGCAGCTCTGAGAGAGCTCTTAGGGCCCCAGCTCATCCCCAGCCCTCTGCCCCTGCATGCCAGCCATTTCCCAACAGCCCTGATCCTGCACTGAGGGCTGCACAGAGCCTACCATCTTTGCCTTTCGAGCCAGACCACTTCCCTTGTGCACCTCCACAGGAGGCTCTCAGCACCTCACTGTAATGGGTGGTTGTCTTTCTCGTCCTTAGCGTCCTCCCTTCCCTTCGTTCACTAGAGCTCTCCCCCTGCACAATTCAAGGGCCTCTTTCTGAGCTCAGGGTGGCTTGGAAGAGAGAATATAGGTTTTCAAGTCAGGCACACTTAGGTTCAAACCCCAGCCCTACCACTTACTGTGGGATTGTACAAACTAGTTCTTTAACCTCTCTGAGCCTTTGTTTCCTCATTCATAAAATGGGGATGATAATCTCAACTTCACAGAGTTGTGAAACTGGGGCCTGACAGAGTAGATCTGCTGCACCTGGCACGCTCAATCACCATTTGTCAGTGCCCTCCCTTTGCCTCTCCCAGTGCCTCCAGACTGGTTAGCAGTGGCCAAACACTGCCACAGGGCAGGGTGCCGAGTGCTCACAGCCCTTGCCTCAAACAAGGAGCACACTCAGGAGGCCTACCTTCCCTTAATCCCAGAGCTTCTCAATGTGGGCCCTATCAGCGTTGTCAGTGGGGCAATTCTTCAGGGTCTGTCCCATCCACTCCAGGGACTTAGTACCCCAGCCTCCTGTCCACTGAATGTCCACAGCAGCCTCCTATCATTGTGATAAGCAGAAACACCCCTGTGTCTCCACGTGCACTCTGGGGAAGGCAGCATACCTGTGCTGCTAAGAGCTAACTCCTGGGGCACGGACACAGTGGCAGCACCTGGGAGGACAGGACAATGTCTTACACAGCTGTTTCTGGGCCCAAGGAAAATGAGATACAATTATCTAGGACAACATTAGGCATACTGAGGTGTTGGTAGGAAGGGTCCAGAAGTCAAGGTAGATCTGGGGTGAGGGGTCTAGGTTGTGGGAGGGGCAGCCCCCCGAAGAGCAATGTGGCTTAGGAGCTGGACAGGCCTAGGGAGGCAGACAGAGCCGGGGGCGGGAAGGAGCTTAGCATCTTTGACGTGAACTCACAGCATCATCTGGAAAGGTAAGAATTGGGCAAGCAAAAGTTGCCTCGCCTCAAACTCAGATTCTCAGGCTCTAGCTCCTCCTTCAGGACTGCTAGACACGTGGCAGAGTCTGCCTGGCCTCCAGCTTCTCTAAACTCCGTCATCTCTGAGCAAAGACCCCAACTCTCACTGCAGACCTGAGGACATCTGCCAGGTTGACCCCAGGCAGCTCTGTCCTCTTCCACTTCCCTCCCTACCCACATGGCAAGCTTGGCTGAAATGATGGTGTGCCAGAGGTCCTGCCCCCACCACCAAGAGCTTCGGCTTCAGAGGTGGAGGAGAGATGGTCCCAAGACTGCTGATGCCACCTGTCAGCATGAGGCTGTCTGGCCCCATTCTGATCTCCAAATCACCTGCCGGGCTGTATGTTAGCTGCTACCTCTACTCACTCGATAAGGGCAGCACTTTGGCAAATGTGTTCGGCTGAGCTGATCCTGAAGCAGGACTCTGGGTGACAAGCGTGTTTGGAGCTCTGAGGACCCAGGCTGAGAAGGAGCAAAGCCCCATAATGCCTACCTTCCTAGGCCCCCATCGCAGCGCTCACCACTCTTCCAGAAAAAGGAGGCGATGCTCTCCACAGCCCCCCCACCTCAGCAGCCACCTCACCTGTGCCTCCACCCAGCTGTGTGTTACTCCGCTCCAAGGCCAGCCCATTGGCCCGAGGGCTGGTGCCTGGGGCTGTGGCAGGTGTGGCTCGAGGCAGGCGCTTCCCTGGCACTTTCACTGTTGTCCGCAGGAGGTCAATCTCCTTGCCGTGGATGTTCTGCATGTAATCCTAAGGGCCACGTGGATAAGAGAGATGAAGATTCATTAGGACAGGTCACTCTTCAGCACCACTTTGTCTCTGGCACTGACCCTCTCAACTCCTAGGTCTCTCCCCACTGTGCTGCCTCGAGTGGGGGAAGGAGCGGGAAAGCTCAAGCTTTAAAAAGCAGGACTGTGGGGCCGGCCCGGTGGCTTAGCGGTTAAGTGCACGCACTCCTCTACTGGCGGCCTGGGTTCAGATCCCGGGCGCGCACCGACGCACTGCTTGTCCGGCCATGCTGAGGCGGCGTCCCACATACAGCAACTAGAAGGATGTGCACCTATGACATACAACTATCTACTGGGGCTTTGGGGAGAAAAAGGGGAAAAAAAGGAGAAGGATCGGCAATAGATGTTAGCTCAGGGCCGGTCTTCCTCAGCAAAAAGAGGAGGATTGGCAGGGATGTTAGCTCAGGGCTGATCTTCCTCACACACACAAAAAAAAGCAGGACTGTGAAGCCCACAGGATATCTCCAAGTCTAGATTATACCTAGACGAACATGCTAACCACAGGCAGCTCTGGGGGCCCTCAGCCAGGAGCGGGGCAGGGGAGACAGAAGGGTCTGGAGCTCGGGGCTCCTTTAGGGAAGTTGACTCAGGAGGCAAAGGAGGCCAAGTATTGGACCAAGATGGAATTTAGGGAGAAAGGGCCAATATGACCAAGGAGAGTAACTGACAGACTCCATGGGATACAGACAACTGGGTTGCCCCAGGCTGTGGGTGGCTGGTCACCCACACTTCAGCCCTGTTTTTAGAAGCTCCCACCACCACTTGGGGCATCGAGAACCTTTAAAGCCTAGAACAGTCTCTAATCCTTAGAACGGCACCTGACAATAAATATTTGTTGAGCAGTTAAAGGGAAGCCTTGATTCTTTTTGCTGTTCTTAGAAATATACGGACAGGTCCATAGTTTCACAGATGCCAGTGGGTATCCTCTCTATCAGCAGTAATAATAATAACCATTATCATCAACACATCACCTGCCCATTCGTGTGCCAGGTAATTCATTGTACTATAGCTATATATGGTATCTATATTTCATATATTACCTCAGGTAATCTTCATAACAACCCAGGAGGGAGGTGTTACTATACCCACTTTACAGATGAAGAAACCGAGGCTTACAAAGGTTAATCTATCCAAAGTCACACCATCAGAAGGTGGTAGAGCCAGATTCATGTCCAGGCTTTTCAGATTCCCAAGGCTGTGCACTGAAGGCAGACTTCCTCAGTCCAGGAACTCACCCTGAATTCAAGTCAGCACCCAGAGGGCCCTCGGAGTGGAGTGCGGAGGGACCCAGAGAGTGGGAGCCGCTCAGCACTTTGACCCCCACCATCCCCACCTTTGCGACATCAGCCTGGGAGCCCCACGGTGGAGTGGCAGTGTGGGGGGAGGGGGCTGCAGAGCAGAGCCCTGCCCCTGCCCTTTGGCTTCCTGTTTTAAAGCTGTGCCTGGCCAGGGCCCAGCTTTCCCCACTGCTTCTGGCCTCTCCTTCCAGACGGCTGACTCCCATTTCCACAGCCCATCACCAGTGAGCTCGTCACCGGTGAGCTCCTCAGCAGTTCCCAGATAACCTCCTCGATTAAACGTGGTAAAAACTCCTTCCTGAGAGTAGAACTGGGTGGGTGATGCCGATGTAACTTTGAACTGGAATTCCATTGATCAGCCTCAGAATCGGTGCCTCTTCTCCCCACTCAGGAGCATCTCTGGGCTGTTTTGCTTCCCAAGCGGTGCCGGCTCAGACACAGCCCACAGGTCCTCAGAGACCCAGCTCTCCTACCTTTACCAGCTTTGGGCATCAAGACTTCTTGTCACCCAGGTGTTCTCCTACCTTCTCACCTCTTAGCTTCAGGGAAAAGGGACGATGTCCTCTGCTTAAAAGAGCAGATGGGGAGTGCTGCCTGTTGGGAAGCAGGGAAAGGGTAGGGGCTGGCCAGGGCTCAGGGGCTGCCCCTCACTCAGGGAATGACCAAGAGGACATCAAGTAGAAAAGGATCACCTGGCCCCAAGAGAGCCAAGAGAGCGTGTGGGTTCCCAGTTAGGAAGAGGAGCAAGAACAAGGAAACAGAGAGAGCACCCAACGCCAGCCTCCCTCCTGCATTTCTGTCATGAGGCTGGATGTCACTATGTGATGGGTCATCAGGGGACCGACGGGAGGACTGTGGGGAGGAAGGGGCGCCACTGATGCTAGCACACTGGCCTTACTTGGAGCACAAGTCCAGCTCCAGGGAAGTTGGGCAGGGTGAGTAGTCGCCCTTTATTCTCCAAGTGGCTCTGGTACCTTCACAGGCAGATGGCCCTTCAGAAGAACCAGAGGAGCCTAGCCAGCCAGGGGAAAGAAGCAGCCCCTAGAACTGTGTGTCCAAGGAGGGGCTCCCTTCCCTGCAGCTTTGGGCTGCATCTGTGCCCTCCTGCCACCACCTAGTCCTCTGTGAGGAATGGTGCCAGGTGCCGCCTCAGGCACACCCTGCTCGAAAGGTGTTTGCTTCATGTCTCAGAACGACATCACCGAGAAGTCAACAGAGCAGTCTCCGCCCATGGCAGGACCCCTCTGACACCCTCTAACTCTGACTCTGCTGAGTGCTGCCAGGGCTCTGTCCCCAGTGCGCAGCCTCACCACAGTGGCTGGGAAGGAAACAAACCCAGGACCCCTTTCGTGCCCCACCAATGTCCCTTCTATTCATCCCTTCTCTAGCAAACTCAGCCCACCCCATCCAGTCACTGTTGGCTCCCTGGTCTTGCTTTCAAACCAGCGTCCAGTATGTGACTTCACTGTCTTGGCCCTCCCCACTCAAGCCCCAACATCCCACTAAATTGGCTTCTGCATGTACCCGTCCCAGGTCCCTGCACACACTCACATCTTGGATCAGCTGCTCCAGACAACTGTCAACAGCTGGCTGGGCCAAAGGCACAGCTGCAGTCCCTCTCCTGGGGGAGGGGCTTGGCCTGCTCTAGTTCACAAGGAGGTCACAGCAGCTGCAACAGTTTTCAGGCGCCACTACAGCCCTGGGATGCCCAGGCTGGGACATCGCAGGAGAAAGTGACCCTATGCCAGGAATGGAGCTGCATGGAGGGACTCCGTTCAGGGCCAAGAAGCCAGAAACCAACGTTAAGGGGAAAGGACTGGCCCCCTTCAGCATCTCTGACCACATCAGGTAGGCGCTCGTTGTGCTGGTGCAGGCCAGCACCCACAGCTCTCCACTCCGTGCCCTATGCCAGGCCAGCTCCAGGGCCAAGCTGAGAGATGGAGCCTGGCCCTGAGGAGTGTGGTGAGAGCTCGAGGAGCAGCAGCAGGAATAGGGACTTCAGGGGCAGAGCAACAGCGTTTCCCTCCGTCAGCAGAACGAGGAGCTCGGTGGTGGCGGTGGCAGCGGCTGCTCAGGAGAGCGGTCACCACGGCTGCCTTTATTACCCACCATCAAACAGCAATTTCTTCCCCAGCCTCCTCGCTAATTACCCAGCCAGCGTTCTCATCTCGTTTTATTACTGGAATTAACAACGAGTTCAGAGCGTGGAAAGCTATTAAGATGTGTGATTAAGCCACATTCAATTAGTTTCTACAAACAATTTAATTGATGTTGCAGATAGAATTAACAGAAGGTGATTGTGTGAATGGCTCCGCTGGCTGCAAAATGGGGGAGGCTGTGGCGGGCTCTCTTGGGCCAGGCAAGGATCGGGTGTGAGGCTTGACTCCTGCCCACCAGCCTTGCCACTGCACGCCCGTCCAATTCCTCCAGCCTGACAGGCCTCCATCAGTAGGTGAGTCACCAAGACTGCTGCCCTTGGGTCTCAGGCAAGAGCCGTCCCTGGGAGGAGAGCCAGACTAGCCCAAGAGTTCTGTGTGCACCTCTGGAGTTATCAGAGGGTCATTTCTCTGCACAGCTCCCTAACAAGAGGAAGCCTCCAAGGGAAGCAGGGTGGCTCACTCAGAAGGAGGGTGCCTGCTCACTGCTGGCAACTAAGAAGCTTGCTCAGCTTGGAAAAGATGGCAAAGTGGAGATGGAGGCAGGTAAGCTAGCAACACACTAAGTGCAGCAGCAACCAAGGAAGGAAATCAAGAAGCAAGAGGGGTAGACGGAGTGAAGCAGCCTCTGCTAGGAGTAAACTCAGACCCCTGTTCGTGCAGCTGCACACAGCAGCCCTTGGCTTGGCCTCCACTCGTACTTTCATTGTTACCACCAGTTTCCAATCTGATTCACGTCTTCCGAATGAGAAGAGAAGCGTCTACACAGCAGGGATGTTGCCATCTGCATGTGCCAGTTCCTCCTGGCGTCCAGTGTCAGGGAAGGACATGCATTTTGACCTCAGAGCCAATGGGCAGCCAATGAAGAGCTGACAAATGGGGAGCCCGTGCTCTCAAAGGCGCCGTTCACTCAACCTCTTCACGACGTCCTGCTGCAAGGAGAGCAAGAGCGGGCCTGGCAGAGGCTGGGGCCTGGTGGGGGCCAAGGCCTTGGGTGCTGGGCCAGCGGAGCTACCTGCCTCTTAGACTCACCTTACAAGAAAGCAAGGACAGGCCTCGAAGTCCCTTCCACCCAGATCCTGTCCCAGGTCCCTGAACACACTAAGCTACACACAGGTCAACATGCACAGCACTGGAAGGGACTCCGGGGGAGCTCAGACACCCAGCCTGGCCCAGCCCAGGCAGGCAGCCCATTGGCTACTTCCGCCCTCTTTTACTTGACAATATGTCAGGGAAACACCTACCCTAAGGTTAACTCTCCAGTGACTTTCTCAGCCAGCCCTGAAGGGAGGTGCTCTTGGCATGTGCAGAAAAATCTGGGTAATGCTTAGACTCAAAGTCATGGGTCCAAGTCTTAACTCAGCCACTGGCTGCGTGACTTTGATGATCCAACAAACTCCACCAAGCCTCTGCTCTCCAGTTTGTTAAGTTATGTGTAAAAAACAGCACTCCCTCACACCTTTACCTTCCCTTCCTAAACCAAAACCAAAACCAAAACCAAAATCAAACACAACACCCAACACTTTCCTCCATGTCTCGAGACCCTCCTACCATCCCTCTCCTCTACCCTGGGCTTCCCCCACTCTCTGGGGCAGGGGGACAAGCAGAGGGGACAGAGCATGGCACCCAGTTAGGGCAGCACAAAGCAGAAGGAACAGGTAAGGATGCAACAAAGGGGGAGAGCTAAGGCCACCCCCACACAGGTGGGGGAAACTGGGATGCTTGAGATAGGCTAGTTCCCAGCTCACCAGGCAAGACGGTGCCTAAGCAGAGAGCACATGCATCCTGCTGAAGTACAGGGGCTCGAAAATACAACCAGCTAGGAGTTAGGAGGTGCCAGTATGTGCTCTTGGCCTCAGCCTGTGAATGGGCATGGAGGCCCCCTGGACCCTCTCAGCTGGGAAATACTGTGGTTCTGCTGTCTCTGGTACAGAGGCTCTGCACCCACAGGGTAGTCCTTGACTTGCTAAGACACTTGTGCCTCAGTGTCAGTGCTTTTCCTAGTAGCCTTGCTGCCTCTCATCATCCCATCAACTCAGCAGTGGGACCAGGTCTGTGTGCAAGGAAGAGACCAGAGTAAGGGAGAGGATGGTGCTGAGGAGCCTTCGTACTAAATACCCAAGGTCGCCTGGGTGTGGCCCCTCCTCCAAGCCCCCAGTTTCCTGGCACCAGCTCTCACCCTCTAGAGTAAGGAGGGCAGAGTCTAACTCGTGGTTTCCCCTAAGCTAAAAGGAAAGGCCAGTGCCCGAGGACTCAGATACGGAGAAACCCAGGAGGGCCAGGCTGGGCTCTGGCCTAAGCGGAAAACAGACTGCCCGTTGCTCTTCCCAAGCCAGGCCTCCTTGTGTCTTCTCAGCAGGGCTGTCTGGGCGGTGCTCTCAGGACCACGTTATGGCCAAAACTGTGGACCTAGCACCTCTTGGGTCAGGCCTCCCTGATACCTTGCGCAGATTCAAAGGCAGGCGAGGGACCCTCTGAGGCAGGCCCTGGGCCTCTGGGTTGGGGGTGGGGCTTGCCCACGTGCTGTGCTTGAGGGGCTTCACAGGAGAACTCATTAGCCCCACAGTGGGGTGGTGACAGAGATGGATTCTGGTGACAGCTGTATGCTGAAGCCACGCAGTGAGGAGAGGAGAGGAAGGAAGGGTGGGGGAGCTGCTACAGGGGCCACTCTACAATCACTGCAACCACCCCGCTGGGGCTTTGGCCATGCACCCTCCAGACCCCTATACCCACACATAATGCCACTCCCACTCTTGTCTTCCCAAGTGGACCTGTCCAAGGCCCCGAGCCATTCTCAGCAGCCCTGGCTTAACAGCCCTCTCACTCTCCATCATCGCAGGCCTGGAGCCCAGGGATCCTCCACTGGTATGGCTCCCATAGAAACAACCAGTTGGCAACATCGGCACCTCCAACTTTAGCAACTCCATGTAAATGGGCCCAATCCAGCTCTTAAAACAACTAGAATAGAGGATGTAGAGCCTGACTGCGCGCACCAGCCTGGCTAGAGGTGACTATCACCAAGGGTGAGTTTTCTCCAAAGGGCCTGGCCACAACTCAGAGCTTTAGTGTTAAGCGATCGGCCCGGGCCTGAGTCTTGGAGTCTGTGCAGTTCCCAAACCACCCAAGTGAGATGGTTTCTCAAGGGAAAGTCCATTTGAACTCACTAAGGTCCACCTCCTTCCAGTCCTGGAGTCAGCCCCCTCCGCATTCTGTTCCTCTTCCTCTGGCCCCAGCCCTGCTCAAGGTTCAGCACTCCCCCGGACTCACGTGCAGGCTGGGGTGGTAGGTGAGCAGCCCATTGTCACAGAGTGTCACGTACTTCTTCTTCCACTCCTTGTTCAGGGACTTGCCACTCCGCTTCAGCAGGATGCCCTGAGGACAGAGGCCGCATCAGAGAACAGGAGCCAGCCACATGTCAAAAAGGCACAGGGCAGGTCACAGAGTCATTAGGTAACATCGTCCTCCACCCCCCTCCTCCTGGGCCACTGTGATTACCTAAGCAGAGACCATACAGGACTAAAGCTGAACTAGGGAGAGCCAGGTAACCGAGCCTTCCACAGAACTCAGCTATCCCTGACGGTCCTCCAGGAAGCAGCCTGGAACCCACCTCTCCAGTTACCGTGGACCCCTGTCCCAGGGGGGTCTCCTTCTCCTCAGGGTGTGGAGCTGGAGGAGCTCCTCACAACAGGAGGCAGGGGTTTAGATGGCCTCCCAGCTGTGATGCTCCTGCCCGTGTCTCTCCAGGCTGGGATGAAAACTCAGGAGGACCCTTGCCTTCAACCCCCTGTGGCAGCCCCAGAATAGGGCAGAAAATCTCCTAACCATCCCCAGAATGCCCTAGACTCCCACAAGGCAGGCAGTGGGGACACCCAGCCATAAAGTTCAGCAACCAAATTTCCCATGTAAGCCGATAAGACACTCCAAGTGTGGAGCTTAGAAGAGCCTAAGGATGAACAGAGCTCCAGGAGAGCAAGGATTTTTGTGGTTTTCTTCACTGACACACCCTCAGCACTGTGACTATGCCTGGGACATAGTAGACACTCAGGAAACAGCTGGTAGATGGGCTGGGGAAAAGCCAGCCGAGACTGTGTGGCTGTCAGTGATGCTGAAAGTGGGAGGTGGGCCCCAGCTAGGAAGACGAAACATGACCATGCCCAGGAACAGCCTTTGTTGCCTCCCTCTAAAGATAATGCTTGAAGACACTCTCACCCCTCTGGCTCTCTCCCTGGAACAAGAAACAGCACAAGAGAATGGCTGAGGATAGGAGCTGGGGTCAGGGAGAGGACAAGGACTGCCACCAACGTATACAGGTGGCAGATTCCCCAGGACCAGCATCGCATCCCCAGGGGTTTCCTCCTCCCAAACTCAGGAGGGCTGAGAAGAGGCAGCTCCCAGAGATTCTTAGACAAAATTCCTACGGGGGAGAGCCACATGGGAGAGGCAGGATGGGCACTGGCTGGGAGAGAGCGGGAGAAGCACCCTGAACCCATCCCAACGGGTGTCAGAAAGGAGGAGCTGAAGGGGCTGGCCCAGTGACAAAGCAGTTAAGTTCCCGTGTGCCGCTTCGGTGGCCGGGGGTTTGCCAGTTTGGATCCTGGGCACGGAGCTACTCACCGCTCACCAAGCCATGCTGAGGCGGCGTCCCACATAGAAGAACTAGAAGGACCTGCAACTAGGATATACAACTATCCTAGGACATACATGTACTGGGGGTTTTGGGGAGAAAAAAAGAAAAAGAGGAAGATTGGCAACAGATGTTAGCTCAGGGCCAATCTTCCTCAAAACAAAACAAAAAACACAAAATAAAAAAAATGGAGGAGCTCTGAGAAATGCAGCCCTGTAATGGATTCTCCAGCCCTGCCCTATGGCAAGCAGGAAAAGAGGGATTAAGAGACTCAGGTGTGAGAAAACGGGCAGTCTCTGTCATTAGCTATGATCCTGAGGCCCAAGGGTGGGGGATAAATCCCAACTTCATTACACCTTCCCCCTCTAAGTTCTTCTGACTAGAAGGTTCAGCCCTAGAGATGAGATTAGCAAAAACAGGTGATTTAGGATTTCTGCCTGGTATCCCCCCACTAATAGGGACTAAGGTGGAGGTAAGAGAGGGCCCTACATTCCAGTCTCCTACTTTTCAACAGATGTTTCACATTCTTACTACCCCTCCTTCCTTCCTCTGTCTTTCTCCCACCACCTCCAAAAGACCAATGCTGTTGCAGGAGGTGTGCCATGTGAGATTGCAGTTGGAGTACTTGGCCATCTGAGGACACATTCCGCTCCCTGTACCCCATCAGCGTGAGAGACCCTAGCCTCACAAGGAGCTGCTGAAGACAAGTGTTAATGGGACCTTCAGTAGACAACAGGGGGGCTGGAACATTCCAGAAGGCAACTGGGCCCCTGCCTCGTGGTCTGTGAAGGAGCCTTGGCGACCTGCCTCTGGGAGTGGCATCCATCCCCTCACAGGCCAGGAACAAGGAAACAGTACAGCTGCTCCCTCTCCCCTGACTGCAGACAATGCCCCCGAGGACCAGCGGCCAGATTCTCATCCCACTCCCTCTCAGGAAGGCCTAGGAAAGCGGCTGCCTCCACTGGCTTGCCTGCTCCTCATCTCACTCCCGCCTTTTCTGTCCCCCACCCAGCCCTCACTCTCAACAGGAGATTCCACAACGGCCTCTGTTGTCAAATGCTTCAAACCTGAGCTCAGTCCTCCCTCCCCTGTCCCTTCATCTTCATCATGTTCGAGCCCTTCCCTCCCGGGTCCAGCTCCCGGTCAAGGAAAAGGGATGCCAAGCTCTGCTCTCCCTTCTGCCACCAAGCAGCCCTTAACATCCAACAAGTCATGTAACTGCCTGGGCCCTGGTTTCCTCGGATGGACTGGGGAGTGGACTCAGGTATGGAGGTCCTCCCTCCTCCAGCATGGGGTCAGGAGCCAGATGCCAAGGAGGCCGGTCTAGGAGAGAAGCCCTTTTCTACCCAGAACTCCCTCCCCCCTTCACGTGGGCCCCTCTCAGGGAGGAAGCCGAGCCGCCCACCAGTGGTAATGACACCACCAGTGGTAATGACGCTCGTTAGCCAGGGGTGTGGGAGGAGTGCCGGGCTTGGTAGAGAGGCGAGTGCAGCTGGCCAAGGACTCGACCTGCCACCCACACCCCTCTCCAGCCCACCTCTCAGCCGCCCAGCCCTGCTCTGCCCGCACAGCACCAAGACACAGGACAAGCAAAAAGCTGGGCTAACGAGAGGCCTGCCTACCCCACGCCTCCCGTTCCCTCTCACATCTTGTGTTCCAAGGAGGGAGAAACGAGCTACAGGGGTTCCTGCTCCCCTCCCTGGCCAGCCCGGCTGCGCACGGTGGAGCAGGAAGCAATCTGGGGCGGAATGGGAGCGGTGCGGAGGCGACAGCCCCCAGAGGACCTGTTCCCGCCGCCGCCTCCCTCCCAGCTCCGCCAGCCGGCTTAATTGCGGAGTCCGGATTGATTGGGAATGCAAATGGCAACTGCAATGCAATCTCCACTCCCAGCAGGAGCAGGGGGGAGGGGGAAGGAACAGAATGGGGAGACGGGGACAGGAGGGCTGGAAAGGGGTTGGACTGGCCCTGGGCAGCGGCGAGGTATCATGGGGGCAGCGCTGGGGAGGAGTGCAAGAAACCAGAGAGTGGACAGTCCACACCCTAATGGCAGGCACACCCCCAAACACTGTGTGTGATTCTGCTGCGGCACCAAAGCACAGGCCTAGGTACCTCCCTCTAGCTGGCAGCGCAGCGGACTGCACTCGGGCTCCTTCCTGGCGATGTCCATCCTACTACAGGTCCCTGAGGTTTAGGGGCCTGTCACACCAAGCGACCTAGCTGACCCTCTGGCTGGACCAGAATCCCAGGTGCAAGTTCATAGGCTTCATCCTCCACCCCACAGCTCCCCCTGCCCCTCCATGTGAGGGATTCAGAGAACAGATAAATTAGCCTGTACCCAAGACAGGAAGAAGGGCGTTTGGGGCTACACTTATCTCAAAGCACAGGCCCCGGGGGAGAGTGTTCTCTTTTATTTATTAAGTGTTTTCATGTGTGTGTACACACTCAGACAGCACCTGCCCCCAAGCAGGGAGTGACAGTCCTCTGCCCAAAGCAAATCCGCATCACTTGGCCTGGCGAGAGGCCCTGCAAGGAGGCACTCCCAGAGACAGGTGACCACACCACCAACAGGTTTGTGAAGACTGATTTTGTGTCCAGGCACACACAGGGACAAGGGGAGGAGACCGGCTGCTGTCACTCTTCTCAGCCTCTTCACCTGTCCTCCCGGTAGGCTGACCCAACTAGGGCCGTCCGTGCCAGACATCGGGGCAATGACATTTCAGGGGAGGGCTGAAGAAGAAACACAGGACGTGGAGGGACAAAGCGTTCCCCACCCTGCCCTCTGGGGCCCTGACACACTTTTCAGGCTCTCCATTCTACAGGGACCTTCCCTGCAGGGTCAGAAACCTCCAACCTTAACACAAGAATTCTGGTCACACTGCCAATGGGCCCCAGAAGCCCCAGCCTAGAGGGCCAAACCTGACCACAGGGCCCCAGCCAGGCCGAGCTCTGGTGCTCTGGCCACACCAGACTCCTCTGTGGTCAAAACCTGACAACATGGCCCCTGTAGACACGGCGTCTCTAACCACCAGCTCCCAAGATCAGCACCAAGCTCAGTATCCTGTGGATACAGCAGACTAACCACCAGGCCACTGCCCCATCCTCATCGGCACCTCGGCTAGCAGGCTCTTGCTCGAGCTCGAGAGAGACACCTCCTCACTCTACCCCCGACCAACTCAGCAGTTCCAGAACCCTGCTCAGCACACCACCCTCTGTGCACAAAGATACCCTCCATCATTCAGTGTCTTTTTCCAGCATGGGGACCCACAACAGGTGTGGGAGGATCCAAGCTTCAGGTGGCCCAGCCCTGCCAGGGAATGACTCAGAAAGGAGATGGAAGAGAGACTAGGAGGTAGCACCTCAGCTAAGTTTTTTCTTTACAAATGAACGGAGGCTCACGTGAACAAGACTGAGCCAAGGAACCCACGGGAGGACCAGTCCTCAGTACGCCCTTCAATGAATACGCCTCAGGGTACTCTCTTGCGAATTCCCTTTTCTGGGAGGAGGGGAGGTAGGCCAGAGCCCAGACTCCGCTCCAGGTCACCCAACTCCAGAACCACTGGCTGGAGAGCAGCTGAGGACGGCAGACGGCCCTCTGCTGCCCCCCCGTGGTGGTGAGGAGGAACAGGCAGAGCCCAGGGAGGAGCAGCTCCAGCCACAGGCCCAGGCCACAGCAGCCGCTCTAGCCACTCTTTTCAGAGGTCCATCCTTCTTAGCAGACTAACCTCTTCTTGTTAAGGATTCAGGCCTGGCAGGTGGGGTGCTCGCCTGTTATACCATCTCCCAAAGGCCCTGAAAAGAACCATCCCTCAGCCTTTCCCGGGCCTCATCTCAGCTCCTTTCTGGCCACAGGGAAAAGGAGTGCTGACCTGCTTAATGGGGATGGCCCGACCACTCCCGATACTGTCCACCTTGCACTCGGCGGCTTTTTTCTCCCGGTCCAAGTCAGCACCCTTTCGAGACTAGAAGAAAAAACAAGAGGCGTGTTAAAAGGGTGAAGGTCCATGGGGGACAGCTGCCCACCTGGAATCCCCAGCCCTCCCATCCTCCCTCCTCCTGGGCAGACCCTAGCAGTGGGGCAGGGCCGGGGCGGCGGGACCGGGAAGGAACTGAGACCACGAGTATTCCAATGGGTTTATTCTTACACACGGCACCATACAGAGCAGCACAGGTCACTGAGCTGGGCCCGCCCCTTACAAAAGAGCAAGGACACGAAATACCAAGGGTGTGAGGACCGCACAGCCCAGGGGGCTGGGGCGTAAGAGAAGGGAAGGGGCGAGGAGAGGTGGACGGTGGGGCTGAGGGATGGCCGGGAGCACAGGGCACGAAAACTGGGGAGAGCAAAGTCCAGAAGTTAGCGGGCAGTGGCCCGTCTGCAGCACAGACACCACACGGCACGTTGCACCGAGCATGTCGGCGTGGCCCAAGGGGCACAGTGGATGGAGAGAGAGAGGAGAGAGGCCAGAAGAGGCCCTGAGCCCCTGCCAGGCTCCTGGGGCAGAGCCCGCCCAATGCGGATCCTAGGAAACGGGGAGGCCAAGAAAGGAGAAAGGCAAGCGCGCAGCGGTGGCTGTGGCGTCCGGAGCGGAGCAGGAACGGCAGAAGTCCATGCAGGAAGGAGCAGAGGAGGGGAGGGGCAGGAAAGCTCCCCCCAGGAGCAGCTGGGCCGGGGCGGGTGCTCGGACGCCCCCGCCCCTCTGGGCCTGTCGCGCTGGCCTGGCGCCTGGCGTGGGGCCGAGCTCCCTTCTTCTCCATGCAGCGAGCCTGGCGCAGCGCGTCCAGCCGGGCCTGGTCCCCGGCAGCCCCCAGCCGCAGGCTCCAGCGTTCCTAGCCTTCCCTGGGGGTGGGGGTTAGTTACAAAGGTTCCTGTGGGTCTCTGGAGTGGGGAGCACGGCGGCCGCTTCTCATCTGAGAGCAGTCCCAGGGCCCGGCCCGCCTCCGGCCCCGCACAGGGGAGAATGTCCAGAGGTGCTGTGTGTCACCACCTGGTCTTCTAATTTGGAAGGAGTTGGAAAGGCCTTTTTGTTGATGAAAAGTTGGAAACAGTGGCACATATCTGCAAATATCGAAAGAATAAAGATTTTGGCAAGTTATACTCAAGCCCCGCACAAGTCGGTCAGCACTGGTGAGGGCAGAAACCCAGGCACCTGGGGAGAGGCAGCAGCGGATGAAGAGGAGGAGGAGGCAGCAGCGGAGGCAGTGGCCGGGCAGTCCATCTCAGCGGGGAATGTTCGCCACACGCAGCCTGGGCCCCACATCCCTCCTGTTCTCCAGGCTGCCGGGAGCCAGGGCACAGGGAAGGGGCAAAGGACTACAGCTGCAGCACAGGGGGAGCACAGCCAAAGGAGCGGGAAGAACTGGGCCAGGGGCCGCTGCCCGCAGCTGCACCATCAGCACCTGCCCCGGGCCTCTCCCGGGCGCCACAGCCTCTGCCCCTTTGGCCCAGGAAGGAGGAAGGTGGATGGGTCCGCTGACACAGGGTCCCCAGACAGAAGAGCCGGTCGGGGGGGATGGGTGCAGCCTGCCCCAGCCAGGCTGGCGAGCCAAGAGGCCTCAACCACCAGAGGATCCCTGGAGGCCCAAGGGGCACCCCCCCAGGATGGGAACCAGGGTGCGAGCAGCAACAGAACAAGTACATGAAGTCATGGGGGGACGCGGCGGCCACAAGGGCACCAGCCACAGAGCAGGAATGCTCTGCTGAGGAGGATGATGAGGCGAGGGAGTGGCCCCAATAGCGACAATGAGGGGGAGGTCCTGAGATGCACCCCTAGAGACAGACAGGTCTTGAGGCTGCCTCAGGAACAATGGCGCAAGTGAGGTCACGATGGAAACAATGGAAAGAAAAAATAAGGTCGCCACAGTGAAGATGGAGAGAACAAAAGGGCCGGAGGGAAGGCTGTGCTGTGAGCACGCACAGCAAGGAAGGCAGGCGGAGGCAGCACAGTAGCAGGCAGCAGAGCACACAGGGCTGGAAGCACGCAGGCGAAGGCACCACGGCGAAGAGGCCGTGAGCTGGGCATGGGCACTGGACAGAGGGCAGCAGAGGGAGGAGAGCGTGCCCGGGGTGTTACAGGACTAGCAGCAGAGGAAGGTGAGAGGCTAAGAATGGTGTTGAGGATGGCGACTGAGGCAGGATGTCAGGGAGTAGGTGCCAAGGGCACAGACGGCGGTCACTGCAAACACAAGCACCCAGGGCTCTACAGTAGCAGCAGTAGCAGCGGTGGCGGCGGCAGCAGCAGCAGGTGTGGGCACAAGCAGGCAGCCTGACGCTCTGTGTGTCTCAATGGGCGTGAATAGAAACAAGAAGCTGAGTCTAGCGAGGGTCGGGGCTGCGGAAGTGTGATGCACAGCAGCAGCTTGTCAGCAGAAAGAGGGTCAGTCAGCATGGACGTGGAGGGGGCGTGTGGCAGGCAGAGGGTAGATGGAGGCAGGCAGACCGGCAGAAGTGTGCTGGCGGGCAGAGGCGAGAATGAATGAGCAAGTCCTGGGGAGCACTGGCTCTGTCTGGGCAGGGTTCCTGAGAGCCTGGCCGGGGCCCGGCCTGGCCAATGGGACACAGAGTCAAGTCCTGACGCTCAGAAAGAGGCACACGGAGTGACGCAGAAAGACAGGGCGATCTGAGAATCCACATGGGTAGCTCACCCACCTGTGTCTGACCCAAGACTCCTGGAATGGTCCAGCCAATCCCAGCTGGAGGGTGAGAGTATGGGGTGGGTGCTGTGTGTCAGATGCTGGGCATGGAGAGACAGCAGGCTCAGGGCACTAAGAGCTGAGGGGCGGGGCCCCGAGCAGTGCAGGGCACACGGGACCCCGGATGTGAGGTCTGCAGGGAGGGGGAGAGGATGGGCCTGTGGGGTACCGAGGCAGGGTGGTGAGGCACAGGCTGGGAATCAGGAGATGGAGGCCTAAGCGAGACGTCTAAGCCTTCGTTAAACCAATCACTGCAATGAGTGGGAAGTGGGGTGGGGGGTGGAAAAGAGCGGGAGTGCGGACGGGGAGGCCTGGGACCTGGCTCCAGCTCTGCCAGAACCGTTCTAGTTCTAACCCTTCACACAGCCTTGGGCAAACAACCTTGGGGCCTTGGTTCACAACTGCAGAATCAAAGGTGTCGGGTGAGTTAGAGGGCGAGGTAGAGCAGATGTGTCCAAAGATCCCTCAAGCTGAAGCCCTAAGGGATCGGGGAGAGGGAGGGTGAGTGTGTGTAGCAGGGGCAGGAAGTCTGTGCGGATATGCTGAGGGCAGCCCCCGTGGGCTCAGAAGAACAGTCTGGAGGAGTCGGTGTTGATGAGGGCACCAGGAAGGAGCCTACAGAAGCTGTGTGTCTGTGTGAATGGAGAAAGAGAGACTGCAGGCAGCAGCGTCCTGACTCGAGGCTGTCCACAGCCCCATTGTCTGCAGCTCCTGCCTGCTCCCTCCTAGCTTGGGGGTGGGGGCTCGGCCCTCCCTGTTGAGTGAAGGCAGCTGGGCAGGCGGGAGGAGGACGGGGCACGGGACACGTACCGTGAAGATGTTGGAGCGCCGCTTGGATTGCTTGCGGATGGGTGTGGGGGTGGAGGAGGCAGCGATGGTCTCGATGCGCAGCTCCCGCTGGCTGATGCTGGGGGTGGAGGGGACTGAGGATGAGTAGTCGCTGAAGGCGCTGCTGCCGCCATTCGTGGCCTAAGGACAGAGAGGGCAGCTGAGGGCGGCTCAGGCGGGGTGCAGGGACAGGCAGCAGGCAGGAGCCAAGAACCCCTGTGGTACGGGGATCTGGCTTGGGGCTCATGAGGCAGCAGAGGGGCCAGTAGCTCCTAAAGATGGTACGGAGGGGAAAGACAGCACGGCCTGAAGGCCGGCAGGATCCCGTTGTCACCGCCTGGGCTGCCCCACTAGGGCCCCAGCAGGGGCAACTGTGTGCCAACCAGGTTGCTAAATCAGAGGTAAGGCTGGCAGGTCGGAGTCATGTCAGAGCAAACAAACTGTAGAGTCTTGGCTCACAGGGGGCTCTGGTACAAGGTAGCAGGTTACCCAGGATGCACTCCCCACAGTCAGTGACATACGTCAAGGATGCAGGAGCCCAGGGTGGGGCTCAGGCTGCCAGTGAGAAGGAGGTTTGCTTCTAGGCAGTGTGTGTGATAGGGGAAGGGACACGGGAAAACCGAGGCAGAGAGCAGAGCAGAGCCAAGGCTGCTATCAAAGTGGGCAGCAGCTAAGGGACAGAGGTAGGGAAGGAAGAGAAAGACAGAAAGGACCACAGGATGGAGACAGAAAGTGCACGGCAATGTCCACTCCAGGACTCAGGAGACAGTACAACAGGCCCACTCCCTAACTGCCCACGAGATGTTCACTAAGCAGAGGACGTGGCCTGCCTAGCAGCCTCCTGGAATCCTAACCTGTACAAAGGGAGCAAAACACCCAAACTGTCGCCCTTCGGCAGTCAGAGCCCCCCTCGGGCGGGGCACGCGCACATCTGCACGTGCCCTGCATTCTGTCAGCTGAGGCACAGTTGCTCAGAGACAGTAAAGAAAGACCTATTGTTTCTCCTTTTTCCCACGTGGAAACGCTTACAGGGGAATCCCTGCGGCCTTCTAAAGTGCCAAAAGGAAGGGTCTCAGGAAAAGCAACCAGACTGTCATCAGAAAGCTGGTGGCCAGGGCCGGCCCTGTGGCTTGGTGGTTAAGTGCGCGCGCTGCGATGCTGGCAGCCCGGGTTCGGATCCCGGGTGCGCATCAAGGCACCACTTCTCCGTTCATCCTGAGGCCGAGTCCCACATACAGCAACTAGAAGGATGTGCAGCTACGACACACAACTATCCACTGGGGCTTTGGGGGGAAAAAATAAAATAAATTAAAATCTTTAAAAAAAAAAAAAAAAAAAGAAAGCTGGTGGCCAGAGTGGGCCTGGGAAAGATGACGGCCCTTGGCAGAAGGAAACCAGTGACTGTCGGCCTGACCACTCAATCGAGCGCATCTGTGATGGCCCAGGGTTTTTGAGAGAGCAGAGTGGAGAAAGGCAGTTCTGGAAGGAAACACCAGCCCATGTGCCAAGGGCCAAAAAATACACAGGCAGAAGGCCAGGAAGTGGGCGGGCATCCAAGTGGTATTATGGGAGAACACCGGCAGGACTTGGCTCAGGACACCTCAACACCCCACAGGGCATGAAAGCCTTTGGTCCCAGTGGGGCAAGTGCTGCCTTCTAAATGCAAACACTGCGAGAAAGGCCAACAGGTAAGGAGGGGAGAGGCCTGCACTGCGCCCTGGTTTTGCCAGGGCTGGTCCCGAGCAGGCCAACAGGAACTCCTCTGACCCTGTGCTCCTGAGGATGGCTCCATAGGAAGCCGTTCCCGAGACAGCTCTAACAGCACTGACTGATTACATTGCCTTAGCTGATGTGGCTGCGGAGCGAGAAGACTGGCGAGCAGGGATAGGAAACTAGAGGGAAGGCAGTCACCACAAGGGTACAGATGAGGCCAGGCCAGTCGTGCAGGCTATGGGGAACTTGAGCCAGTGCTTTCAAACTGTCCGCAAGGCGGGAGATCAGACGAGGTGGGGACACGCAAGCAGACAGCATGGTGAGGCAGGGGCGCGGTGGGACAAACGCGCAATGGGAGGCAGGGAGGCTGGCCGCACCTGGTTGATGTGCACGGCCGGGATGGAGGCGGCGGACACTGCCGAGTGGCTGGGGGAGTTGGGCAGTGACTTGCAGGGCCCGATGGCCAGCTGCTGCTTCTTCCGCAAGGCCACTACCTTCTGGGCCACTGCAGGGGACAGCAGAGTCAATTACCCCTCTGGGGAGAAGGGAGAAGCCCAGCTTAGAGCCACCCCCCAGAGCACACAGCCCCGCTGGCCACAGAGCCTTCCTGAGCCCCGCTCCAGGGGAGCCGTTCCCACCCGGCGCCCGAGTTACCGTCCTGGAAGACACGCTCCACATTGAGCCCGTAGGTCGCGCACGTCTCGTAGTAGGTGCAGCGCTTCAAGTCCGTGGAGAGCTTGCGGGCCCTGCTGTCGTCGATGACCCGGGGGTTTGCGGCACTGATGGCATCTGTTGGAGGCGGGATGGTGGGGATTTACTCGACCTGCTGAGAACCTGGGGCCACTGATGGGGAGGGCCATTTGCTCAGAGGGTTGGTGGGCAAAGAGCCTGGGGCAGCGGACGACATGGAGCACAAGAAGACAGGTGTCCGGGCCTGGTTCCAGCTCTGCCACCAACTCACTGAATGGAAATGAGCCAGCTACTCTGTTCATTCCTCACAAAATACACGGTCATCAAACGGATGGCAGGATCTAGCTGGGGAAGATCCAGCGTGTATGGAGCAAGGAGGACGCACCCGTTCTGGGGCACCACGAGGACTCAGTTAGCACCGGGAGGGGAGGGGGAGCTGGGCTTTCTCACACAGGCCACCTGGGGACCCACGGCCTGCCGCACCATCCCTGCAGGCCCGCTCACCCTGCGTGCCCACCAGCACCATGGGCACCTCGCTGGCGTTGCGGAAGCTGCAGAGCCGCAGGAAGTAGTTGTACACCGTCTGGAAGCTGATTTCATCCTCCAGGCTGAACACAAACACCACTGCGTCCACCCAGGCAGCAAACTAGGGGGGACCGAGTAGAATTACCACCCTCATCTGGTCACAGGCAAACTCCATACCCCTCTCCCCACTCACTCAACCTCACCCAGTCCCAACCAGGAAGCTCGAGAACAGGGCGCCATGGGCCAGGACTGGGGCAGAAGCATCACCTGGAGCTCAGGGGGGCCTCCTTCATCTCGAATCAGCAGCAGGTAACTCTGGCCATCCACCACAATCTCCTTCTTAAACCGACCCCCTAGGACAGAGTGCATGGTCAGGCCCAAAACGGAGAGCAAGCGCCCACGGGGGCCAATGAGAAGAAATCCACAGCTTCCAAGGGAGGAGACACGAGGACTGAGAAGGACAAGGGGCTTGAGCCCCATGCACAGATGGCGGGAAGGACAGAAAGGGGGCAGAGTGGCCAGGCTCAGAGCCCAGGCCAACCCAGGACGCTCACCTTCAGGGGACTCCTCCTGGACATACGTCCCCGTGAGATAGCGGTGCACCAGGGCCGACTTCCCACTAGACAGGTTTCCCACAATGCCCTGTGGGAGAGGAAGGGGTGAGAGCGGCGGTCAGAGGGCACAAGGGAGGAGACGGGGCAGAAGAGGCAAATACCATCAGGAAGGAGAGGGCCAGCTTGAGGACGGGAAAGGAATGAGACTCAGAGGGGGAGGGAAGAGAGCCCGGAGAAGTGAAGGGCTGCAGAGAGGGGCCAAGCTGAGACAAGAAGGGGACTGGAAGTCAAGGAAGCTACATCTGGGCCCACTACGCCAGCCGGCACCCACCCAGCCCCTGGGCTGCCTGGGCCTCCCATGGGCCTCACTCACCACTTTAAGCTCCGGCACTGAGCGGCTCAGGGTCCACTCCTGGCTGTTCACAAAGGAGTCTGCGGGAGAGAAGGCCGCCCATCAGGCCCGGGGTGGCACATATCCCTCTGCTATCTGCTACCAGCTATCTCCTGCACTGCCCCTTCCTAGGCCAAGGCCAGAACACAGTACCCAACCCTCACCCCTAGTTCCCTAGGGAGCAGCAGGAAAATTCTTTCAGAGTGGAATGCAGTGATGACAGTCCTCAGGGAGAGGACTCTGAGGGGTGTGGGCTCAGTTCCCCGGGTCTGAACCTGTGTCCCTCCTCCTAATCTTACTGCTCCAGCAAGTAAGAAGTTCCTACCTTCAGCCACACCCGGCCTGGTGCGCCCGGGGCCCAGACACCAGGCCCAGGTGAGAGGCTGCTCCAGCAGGTCTCAGCCCAGACCCAAGCCAGGCTGGGCACTTGGCAGCTGGGCAGGGGGGCCAACCTCCTGCATGGAGTAGGGACAGCTCACTCTCCTGGGGTGGGGCCACCCACCACATTCCTAGCCAGAGTAAAGAGGGAGGAGACCTTACCTGGCCTTGTTCTGTGAGGGGCAGGTCGAATGGGGAGCTATCTACCCCGCCCAACTGGCCCTCCTCCCCAAGCTCCTCCTTGATGGGGAGGCCACCACCCTTTCTCTCCCAGAGACCCGCCTCTGGGCTCCCTCCTCTTCAGTCCTTTCTTAGCTGGCGCCTGACTCTGGCAGTGTCCTGGGACAGCAGATCACTGAGCTACCCAGAGCCCTCGAACGGCCAGCCCTCATCTTTATCCTCAGGGTTGTAATGGACATCCTCCAGCCAGCTCTGGGTGGCCCTGGGGCCAGCCTCCCCGGCTGGGCCATACTTGCTTCCCCTCCCCAGGCTGCTTCAAAGAGTAGTTATCACGACCGGGTCCACAAGCAATCCCTAAACTCATCTGCAGAGGCAGCTAGAGGGGAGGGCTCAAGCCCGGCCTAGAGCCGCTGTCTCAGTGAGTCTCTGTCCCTCCTGGACCTCAATTCCGCATGTGCCAAAAGTGAGGAAGGGGCGCTTCCATCCTGGTCTCACAGTCCACAGCGCTATGGGCCAGGGCTAGCACCGGGATGCAGGCGGCCCAGCTTGGACCTCCCTGGAAGTCCTCCTTTGCCACGACCACCTTCTAGACCTGTCAGCGACCCCAGAGCCTGCCTGGGCACTGATCTCACTCGGGCCAACCCCGGCCAGCCCCGGGCCCACACGGCACACCACCTCTCCCAGGTGGGTTCAAGGCGTCACACGCGCTGTCAACACAGACTCCAACCAGAGAGGACACCCAGGCCGGGTCTCTCCTTACCGCTCGGCGCGCCCAGGAGCCCGGGGTCCGCGGCCGCCCTGCGGCTCCACAGCGGCTCGGCGGGCGCGGGCTCCGGCTCCCTCCGGCGGAAGCGGCTGGTGAGCAGCCTCCAGAG